CTTAGTGTCATGGTAATGCTAGCCATATACCAATTATACCAAGAAATGCAGTATACAAAGCTCGAAAACAATCAGTTTTCCCATGTGACAACGACTCCGGATGATGCAGAGACGAGCATGTTCACTGTGGTCTTTCAGTTCCCACCGCATCTGTTATACGGTGCGAAGCCCCTGTCGCCTGCCTACCTAAGCACTCAAGGACGCACCGACGTGAGCATTGTACTGGGCGTGCCCACTCTGGACGAGCGAACCGAATCCCATCTGCGTGCGACTCTCTACAATCTGATTGAGAATATGAGTGCAGAAGATCAGAGCGATACGCTCATCGTGGTCTACATTGGAGAAGAAGACGAGACGGTCGTCGAGCGCATTGTCCAGCAAATCGAGGAGAATTTCGCAGAGCATCTGAAGAGCGGACTCATTGACATCGTGGCACCCGAGGACAGCTACTATTTTCCGTTTTTACAGGATGACCTGTCGAGGCTGAGCAAGCAGAATCTCGACCTTGCCTACCTCATGGCCTATGCCCACGCCAAAGGCCAGTTCTATGTCCAGCTGACGGATGCTGTTCTGGCCAGACCGAACTTTGTTCGCAATATGCGAAAATTTGCATTAGTACAAATGGCGTTGAACAACATATTTCAGCCAACATGGTTTGTTTTGGACTTTTTCCCAAATCAATTCGGCGGCAAACTGTTCAAGGGCGAGGAGCTACCCTATTTGATAACCCATCTGCAGACCTTCTACAAGGATATACACTGGCACAAATTGATTAAGAGCTTCATAGAGAGCACACTGTGCCGCAAAGGTGCAGAGGAATGCCTGTTACAGATGAGCACATATTGGCAGACCTATGATATCCTCCTATTCCAGCGATTCGGCAACAGTACACTCAGAGAAAAACTGCGCTTGTTGAGCTTAAAAACTTAGCGAATCGAACGGGCAGTCAGTTAATACAATTCTATCTCTCTTAGGATCTGAACTTGATAGCTCTAAGAGCCCTGATTCCTTATTGGGAAATCTCTATTATTATCCAATTAATATTATTCATATTCTAAATACATACAATCGATTCATATGCACTATAACAGCTGTTTTTTTTTAGTATTCTTAAATATAATTTTAGAAATTGCACAAGCTCTTTTTTATAATAATATATCTTTGATAACGTTTATTAATCATTTTACTCGATGACAAATTTCATTTAGATGTGCAACATCTTTGCAGAGAGTTTCGTAAACGTTTTCGATTAGATATAGGTACACATACAGATACAGATTAATATATGTATATATATATAGATAAAGGTATAGTCAGCATTAATAAACATCACCATAGTTCGAAATACATTTCATATAACAGTATAGCAGGACAAATACAATGTGTCCTAAGCTTCAAATCGAATCGTTATCTTCAATTATTGGCAACAAACATTGAGTTGCGTGTATAAATATATTATAGGTAGTTAATAGTTGCAATAAATAGCATTGTATATATAGACTTTATCATTTTGATTAAAATGTGTATAAATTTGTTTCCTTAAGCAACGTTGCGTAGCAAACGTTCAGTCGTTTATTTCATTTTCCATAGAGCATCCAGTTCGTTCAATGGATCCTTGGTCTCCTGCTGCTCCTTGGCCGTCACCTGAGGTGCCATTTTCATTTGATATGAGGTTATGATGCCACCTATATTGATGCATATATAATAAATCAAATGACATAAGTATGTATGCTTATATAAGGCATAGGGCAATTCATACGTTTATTTAGCACTTCATGAGCATGGCTCAAGACAATCTGCATCGATTGCTCCAGTATAGCAGCATCCCGCAGCGAATTTTGGCGCTGCATACAAATGCGGGACCACACATCCACAACATCTGATAAAGCAAAGTTATTTAAATTTAGCATAAATCATGTGATTAGCTTAGATTTTAATCGAGAATCTCCATACTCACTTATCAGAATAGGTCGCTTGTTTTGTGTGCCCACCAGAGCACAAATGGCTATTGCCAGCAGCTCACACCGCTCCGAGCCCGTCAAACAGTTCAGAATCAGCGGGGATGCGGGAGTATTGGCATCTAGACAGCGCTCCTGATGCGTCTGCAATGCATTCTGTGCTATGCCCAACAGTTGAGTGGGTGAACTGTAATTATAAATCCTCATTGAATATATTATTTTTCATCTTAGCTATAAATTTAGTTACGCTTTGGTCCATTGCTTGAGCTGTAGCAGGGATAAGTCGAGCACAGCATCGGCGCCATGCATTGATAGCTTCAGCTGGTATTCCGTACAGTGGCTGAGCTGCTGTATCTTGATGCAGTTCACCGTGTAGTCATCATAGTGAGCAGCCTGATTAAGCAGCTGCGGCCAGTAGGGATCAAAGAGCTGAAAAGCCAAAAGTTAATTTATTAATATATGTATATATAATAATTTCAGTTATTTAACTTACCTCGTTGGTTGTGTGCAGGCAAAGCACAGTACGTGATTTTTCCGACCAAATCATGGACCAGAAATCGTTAATTGTATTCGCTTGCGGTGTTTGGGCTACAATAATGCTGGGACAGCCGGCGCTGAGGCTCTGAGGAGAGAATTTAGAGTTGAAATTTAAGCTTGATATCGTATCTAGTCTAAGGATAGATAAGTTTCTTCTACCTACCTTCATGTATGCCGCATTGATATAGTCATCCGTCTGCTTGTCCAGCTTAACGCGCGCATGATCGTACGGCAGACAGTCGAGGGAGCGATTTTTCTCGGGAAACAGCTTAGCTATGGTCGTCGTTCGCTTCACGCTCGTATCCTTCTCCAGCTTTTGCTGCAGCTCCAGCCATTTGCTGCTCAGCTGCGTGTTGCCATTCAGCATCTTGACATGCAGATTCTCAACGAGCTTCTCATAGCTCTCGACTTCCTTGTGAAAGTATTTCAGCGTCTTATCATCGCCGAATGGATCATAAGAGCGCATTTGGAATGTTATAAGTGAATGTCCGTTGGCAGCCGTTGGCTGCTTTTCGCTGACGGAATGTGTTAGGGACACAGAGTCCCAGTCGAAATTCTCCAACGAACTCAGATCGGAGTTAATGGAAAGATTGTCAATACTATTTTTGCGCAGTGCCGTAACCATAGAAGGGGGCGGGCCAACGGGCGAGAGTCCAGCCGTAGCATCAGCCACAGCAGCTGTTGCTGGCGCAGCATCCGCCGAGGAGTCGCCAGCAGCCACTGAGCCAACAACAGAAGCCGGTGGCGTTGGAGTTGTCACAATTTGCGGCTGCAGCAGCGGCAGCGGCACTGCACCAGCAGTATCCAAATCTAGATCACTGAGCAAATCCACATTGCTGACGTCAGAGGCTGTGGGCTTGGTTGCCGCCTGCAATGTGGACGAGGCGTAAGGAGCGCTGCTCGTTGTCGTCTGGGTGTTGGCTATGCTGCTGCTGCCGCTCTGCATATAAATTGCTGACTTTTGATTGTTGGTGATGGTGGCTCCAGCCGTTGCAATAGGTGGTTGCTGTGGTTGCTGCTGCTGCTGTTGCTGTTGCTGCGGTTGTTGCTGCTGTTGCTGCTGCTGTTGCTGTTGTTGTTGTTGGAGTGTGTTTGAGCCACCAGATGAATGATAGCCATATGGGGGCGTATAATAATTGATAGTCTCAGCTGGTTGACCTGACGCCTGGGCTTCATTAGTGGCCTTCGCATGTGAAACAATGGGCGACTATATTAAATAAGATGAGAAAATATTAGCAAAGGGTTTCCTTAGAATTTAACGCCTACTCACATCAAAGCCCGTGGCCAAGCTGCTGCGATTGGCCTGCTCCGAGTCTGTGGTGCCCACAACCGCGGCCTGCTGTCCGCTCTGTGTGAACTGGCCAAAGCCATGCGTGGCCTTTGGAATGCTGTTGGTCTCATGCTGATAGCCGCTGCTGTACTCGAATAATCCTGTTTGCGGATTGAAACTGTAGCCCGGATGATTGGAGTAGCCCAAATAGTTGTTCGCCTCAATGCCGGAGACAGCGCTGCCCAGTGGATATTGTATGGGCGCTGGAGCGGCGGCAGGCGTGGCCTGAGCTGTTGACTGTGCTGCTTGCGAGGGATAAAGCACAGGCTGTGGAGGTGTTGCAGCCGAATAAGCTCCAATTTGCGACTGCTGGCTCGATTGCGGATAATTGGCTGGCTGTTGAGGTGTCTGCGTCTGCGGATAACTGGCTGGCTGTTGGCTATTTAAAGCTTGGGGATAACTGGCTGCTTGTTGAGGGGTTGAAGATTGCGGATAACTGGCTGCCTGTTGAGGTTGGGGTGTCAGAGGCTGGGGATAACTGCCTGTTTGTTGGGGCGTCTGCGTCTGGGGATAAGCGCTAGATTGTTGAGGAGTCTGTGACGATGGATAATTGACAGGTTGCTGAGGTGTCTGTGTCTGTGGATAATTGGTTAACTGCTGAGAAGTTTGCGTCTGTGGATAACTGCCTGGTTGTTGAGATATCTGTGTCTGTGGATAACTTCCTGTCTGAGACTGCGGAAAACTGCCTGCTGGTTGAGTCAATGTTTGTGACGGTGGAGCATAGCCCGCTCCTGGCTGTGGATACATAGACATTTGTTGCTGCTGCTGTGTGGTGGCAGCCCCAACTGTCGGATAAGCTGGCTGCTGTGTCGGCTGCTGAGCATAGCCCGCACTTTGCGGCTGAGGCTGCGCATAGCTCAAAGTCTCGCCAGGCTGCGTGGATGTGGCCACATAGAGCGGCTGCTGATAGTTGTAGTTCTGCGATGCAGGAGATCCACCAGGCGCAGCATTGGCAAGCGAATAATTGTAGCCATAGGGCGCTTGTGTTTGCTGGCCATAGGTTGCTACTGGAGGCTCCGGTTGCAGTTGATGCTGCGGTTGCATGCTGAGCTGTGCCATGGCACTATGTAGCGATTGGGAGTTGGGCGAGGCCTGCGCCTTGTAGGCGGGCGGTGCGATGTGCTGCTGTTGCTGCTGATATATGGGATTTGTGTAGCCCGCTGCATTGGGATCATAGTATTGCTGGTGCTGTAGGCTGTAGGGCGGCGGCGGCTCATTGGGCGGCGGTGCACTGGCGTAGGCCGAGCAGGCCGCCTGTGTGGGGTTCTCCGAGCCCACGGGCACCGGGCGTACCGTGGGCACATAGGGCGTGGCATCCAGTGTGCCGGGGACGGTGCCCAAACCACTCTGCTTGGCCTTTAGGTAATCACGCAGCTTGGGCGCACCACTGGACGGCGTGGGCGCAATTTCTGGCTTGCTCGGAGCTGGCGCCTTGACACTCTGCAGGCGCTGCTGGCGTTCCTCGGACTGCACATCTCGGGCGGACTTGAAGCGCGTCAAAAGCTTTTGCACATTGCCCGCCAGCTTCTTATAGAACTCCAGGCCCTTGGCCGACTTGGCCAGCAGATCCTCGTAGACATCATAGGAGGCGGCGAGTGAGCTGTAGAAATGTTCGCGTTTCTGCTTCACGTCCTGCAGCGTCTTCAGCACGGGCGCGGCACGCGCATAGGCCTCGGTGAGGGCTTGCAGTATGTTCTGCTGGGCCAGCATATTCTGATCGAGCAGCTGGGTGAGGCGATCGTGCTTGGCCAGCTCCGTGGCAAAGAGCGCCTGCAGACCCTCCTGGTTGCCATGGGCAATCACCTTTGTGGTGATGTCATCTTCGTTGATGGCGATGCGCAAGTCCGCATGGAATTGGGCGCGCTGCGCCTTCATCTCGTTCACCTTGTTCACGATCAGCTTCACGTCCTTGAAGATCTCCGTGGTGTTCAGCTCCGAGCTGAGCTTCGGCATCAGCTGTTGTATTTCCTGCAGCGGCCGTGCCAAGATCTTCAGGTTATTCACATGCAAGCTCATCGCCTTGCGGAGCGTGTTGTTCGATTCGCCAGCTCGGGCATGCGCCTCGCTATATTTCTGGAATTCTCGCGTCAGTTCCGTGATGTGAGCATTGGGCGTACGCTGCACGCCACTCGCAGCTTGAAATTCCCGTTCCGCTTGCGCTTCCGCCTCCAGCATGCGGGTCAGCTCACTCAGATTGGTCTCCACATCGGCTGTGATCTCGGCCAGCTGCGACATGGCCTCAATCAGATCACTGATGGCCGTCTTATTGGCATGCAACGCGGCACAGCGATCGACAATGCCCTGCGGCAGCTTATTCGCCTGCTCCTCGTTGATGTTGAGATTATCGAGGCTCAGCGAACTCATGTAGCTGTCCAGCTGGGCGTCTTTCTCCTCCAGCAAGGCGCCATATTTCCGCAACAATTTCGCCTTCTCCTCGCTGTACATGGAGCTGGCCTCGTGCGCCTTCATTGGCACTAGTCGAGCGAATATATCAGTGCCTGCATATTCCTCATCTGTGACTGAGAAGCCAATGCCATTGACCAGATTAGCGCCCTGAACGGCGGGTATGGTGGACAGCTCTGGCACCGCCTCGTGGTAGATGAATTCGTTCTCGTTTTTGGCATTCTTGCGCTTTCCCTCGACCACGTCGGCGGTGAAGCTAAGCGATTCATTGATTTCCTTTTGATCAGGCAGGCCCTTAGACTCCTTGCGTGCTTCCTCCAGTTTGTCCCAGGCGGCCTAAAAGAGAATTATGTTAATATTAGCTTCAATTTCGAATTATATATAAAACTGACCTGGTAGAGCGTCAAACGTTCGCCCATTTTACGCTGTTCCTCAGCCTGCTGGCCGCGATACAAATACAATATACAGTTCAGATAGTTAATCTTGAATTTCACATATTTCTTCCACAGCTTATAGACGGAGCTTTCGATGACCTGAGCGATGGTTCCATCGTCACCGCCCGTGAGCAGCGCAGCCAAAGCGGCGCCATAGTAAACAACAATTTGTGCCGTCACTTTGGCAACAATATGTGGCTTGCGATTGTCTATCAGCGACTTCTCCAGTATGCACTCCTGGGCCTGAGCCAGGCACACCTGCTGTTGGAAGACCAACAACTCGTTGGTCATAAAATCTGTGCCGCTATTCACATTTGCATAGCGCTCCCTCAACTCGTTGTAGGCCCAAGCAGCAGCCTGTAAAATGTAGGGTTTATTAATCGATATGTTGCACACGCTTTATTCATATTCACTCACCTGAAAATGGGTGCAGGCCATTTTCATGCCATCGATGTCGCCGCGCGTCACCGAGGCGCCAGACTGTGTGTGGGAGGCGGCGATGTTGAAGAGAACAGCGGCGCGTTCGTAGCGCAAATCGCTCACCTCATGCACGGTATTGTGATAGAGATCCTTCCAGGTGAATGTAAAGATGCTGCGCTCTGCGAGCTGAGGAAATCGATTCTGCAATGCATGTAGCTGGCAATAATATCGCTTCATTATGGGAGCTCCGTCTTTCGTCGTACGCATTGCCTGGTTGCGTAGAGTTTCCAAAGCGTGAACCTCTTTCGAAAAGGCCTCCGGATCTTCATGGTAAAACTCTGCTATGTACTGTGAGTGAGAAAGTGCGAGAGAGAAAGAAAGATTAAGTATGAGCGAACAAAAGCTTTTCAGTGTTTGTTTTGATATTTTTTTGTATTTGCTGCTAATTAAGCCAACAACTGCTCGGATGACTCAGACATGGGCAGCGCCAGAGGCAAGTGGCTGCAGGTGAGTGCGAAGACAAAGCCAAACATATTTCACAGTAGATCAACTTTCGTCAGTGGTTACGTCCCCGCCCCCCTCCGCACTTAAGGCCTTCTAGAATAACTGTTAAGTTCGTCGACCGTCGCTGCTTTGTCGTCTGCTTACCTTTTTTAATGGCGCAAAAGATGTGCCTTCTGGGCTAGATTTGAGGGCAAACCATAGCATGTGCAAACGTGGCACGGCCTCCATTGCGTATTTTTATTTTTTATTGCAGCCTACTTCGCTAATTCGTTAATTTTGATACTTTTTTCCACAGAATGTACAATAGAAAATTGCATTGCAACTGCAGTGTGGCCGTAGATGAATTGTGTATGAAATCTCAAAAGAAAATGCACAATAAAAATACCACAATGGGTATTGAAACTAAACTAAACGAATTTGAGCTAAGTGGTTCTTGCCAATGATACACCGGCTTATGCACTGCAATGAAAGTAAATAAGCAATTATGATCTAATAGCAATTGGTAATTTACATGTAATATAAATAATATATAATTTAAAGATAAAGATATTATAGAGTGTATTCAAACCTAGTGTGTTATATGAAATACTGTCAAGCAAAGTAGACTTCGTTAAAACAGGGGTGGTTGTTGTCTAGGATGCAGTAGTTCAGAATCAGCCCGTTAGATGTCGCTTTAAATTAGTTTTAAAATTATTTTATGAGAATGGTTGGCATTAAAGTTTCTTACATAAATTTCTGTTAAGAACAAGTTTTTAGTCGGCGTCCAAAAAAACTGACCTACAAACTGTTGTATATGCAGCATACTCTGAACGCACCTAATCCGTTTGGTAAACCGAAATAAGTAAAAATAATACGCAAAACTAAATTACGGCTGTCCGGCATAAATGAAAATTTACATTTTTCCTAGCACCCAGCGTTGACAACAAAAGACAACAAAAGCGGCGACAAATGGCCAACTCACCGGCTGAGCCGCGGACTATGAAGGATAGGGCCAAGAGGATGAAAGGGCTAAAAGGATAAGCAGAGACGAGACACTGGCGAACAACAAGGGTTGAGTAGAGCTTTTCCTTTTCGTTCGCGGCATTTGCTATATAAAAACTCTTCTAGTTAATTTAATTATTTATATGGCATTTTTTTCTGTACATAATTTGTTGTTGTTACTCTTAAAAATATTTTTAGCACTTCCTGTGCAAAATTCTAACCACAAGGACAACAAAAAAGATGAAAGAAAAAACGACTGCCAAAAGAATGCAGAGAGAAAGAGAGAGCGATATAGATGGAGACAGGCAGTTGGCCAACTATGCACTTCCTGTCATTGTCTCCATTCCCTCCCTCTCTCTTTCTCTCTCCGCTGTGCCGTACTCTAGCGACTGTTTTGCGAAAAGCCGAAACGTTGTTGTTAACATTTCCGCTGCTCGCAAAGGCGTTGCTGTTGTTGTTGTTGTTGTTGGTGCCCACATAATTCGCATGGCTAACAACTGCGCAAGAAGAATTTGTTGCGAAATTATTATGAAACATTTACAATTTGCACATGGCAAGCGTTTCACATTTTCATTCTTATTTTAATACTCTACCAAGGGAGATAGGAAACATGTTATGCAGTGTGTAATAAGTGGAGCTGTGATCAGCGTAAGCTATATTTGATATACATACATATACGTAGTTAAATGGATCAGAGCAAGGAAATTTATGTTCCACACTCACAATATCCACAAAGGCTACTCTTTAT